GCACACGGCGCCGAGTGACCGTCGGGCCTCCGCCGCTGGCTGTTAGAGGCGACCCGCGAGGCTCAGGACTCGGCCCCCTCCGCCCGTCCCCAGGGGGGCCGGGGAGGCGGCACCCCGACTCCACGCTCGTGTCAGTGGCCCTTACGCCAACGCAGGAAGGCGGCGCGGCCTCGTGGCGTGTCCGGCGCTGAGCGTCCCCAGTGAGGCCTTTAACTCGGGGAAGCGGGAGGCTCCAAGCAGAGAGGGACCCCCGCGCAGACCCGAGATAAGGGGCCTTCTTTCACCGAGGACAGACCCAGTGCTGGCGTGGCGAAGCCCAGGTCCTGGGGGTGGGGCGGGGCGGGGCCTCCTGTGGCTTGGGGTGTCAAGGAGCCCAGTGAGGAGCTGGGCAGGCTGAAACCCAAGAACCGGCTGCAGGTGCAGGGCTCGCCCCGGGTGGGAGCGCACTCGGGAGACAGCGAGGAGACCTGGGGCGGCTTGGGGGCCGAGGCCTGGCCCTGCGCCGGGGTCGCGGAGGGGTCGGCTTCCGAGCAGGCGGGGACGCTATCTGGTCTAGGCCAGAAGGGCCTCGCTGAGTCAGACCGTCCCTGGGCTCCTGCCCCTCGGGAGGGTCCCAGAGGTGAAGGTCCCTCGCCGTGGGACGCACGCCAGCAGCCCTGACTCCTCTCCTTCTTTCTTGCAGACCCCAGTGGGCACGCCCAAAGGTATGGTTTCTGGAAAACCTGGTCTTCACACCCCCGGAGGCCGGAGGGAGGGTGGTGGGCGTGCACAGTGCCTGCAGGACACCTTGCGGCTCACAAATAACAGTGATGACTCATTGTTTAAAAACGCCGGGCTTTGAGCCTGGCCTGGGGTCCCCGTCATGTCCCTTGATTTCCACAGTATTCCTGAGGCGGGGTGCTGTCACCTCCCCACACTACAGTGGAGGAAACGGGGCTCAGCCCGGCTGCCCAGACTCCGGGGCATCCCCCCGTGCCCGGCAAGACCCCGCCCCGCCTGCTCTGAGGTCTGGGCAGCTGGTCAGGCCGTTCTCACAGGCGCAGGGGGCTGGGACAGGGAGGCAGGAGTCAGGCCCGTCCCGGGCACAGGTGCAGCAGGCCCAGCCCAGGAACCAGAGAAGCCAAACATTTGAGCTCTGACCCATTTCAGGCCCCCCGAAAAGCTAACGCAGGTGGAGAATGTACCCAGTGTTTCAGGGGGGCTGAGGCAGTCACGCCCAGCTGCAGACATAACTGTCGTGGTCCTACTGCCCACTGCGCGTTAGAGCCGCTGCATGCAAACAGAGTCATTCTCAAATGTGCAGTGCAGGTGCCTGTTTGTGCATCGACGGGCGGGTGGGCGTTAGCCGCGGCCAGGACTGGGGTGGTGGCCGGCGTCTTGGACCCGACTTACCACGTGTTAATGATTTATGATGAGAGTCTCTTGTCTTACTGCGGAATTAAAAATTAATAATTAAAAACCCGTGCAGGCCTCTCAGGGGTTCTGCGAAAATCATTTGGACTGAGAGGGGAAACGGACCCAGGGATGGGAAGTGAATCCCGGGCTGCGCGGGTTCTCCTTTCGGGGCACCTTGTGGGCATGCACGCGTGTGCTTGCTTGTGTTAGGGGGCGTCATTGGGCGTGGGGGGGGCCTCCCCATGGGGGTGTCCGGTGTGCAAGGGTGTCCAGGCGGGGGGGGGCTGGCGTGTCCAGGTTTGTGTGCGATGTCTGTGTGCGGGGTCTCTTGAGGTGTCCAGGTGTCTCCTTCTGTCCCCTGAACCCCACTCTCTCTCTCCACCCATTTCCCCACTGAGCAGAGACGCGAATCGCCAACACCCCCATGAAGACGGCCGAAGGCTCCACGATGATGAAGGCAGGTGGGTGGCCCAGACGGCCTGGACGGGTGCTGCCTGACCAGGTTACGGCTCGTGGGAGGCGGGGCGGACCCCGCTCGGCAGCACTGGCGAGGGCTGAGACATGGGGCGACCGGACTGAGGCCCGGGCCTGGGCCCGGGGCGGGTTGGGGCCTCTGCTTTGGCTCCCCACCACACTGGCCCAGCTTCCCCGGCGAAGGTGGGCCTCTTGCATGGCGGCTCTAACTCAACACCCCTCACGCTTCTACCCCGTAACCTCCTGTCCCGCCGGGCCGCACACGCCCCTGCCCGCCCCGCCGGCCGCCTCGGGAGAGAACGCGCGCCCTGGGTGCAGCGGGGGGACGCGCGTGTCCAGCGTCGACTGCACCCCTGTTCCAGCGCACAGCTGGCCCTCGGGCTTCTCACCTGCTGACGGGCAGGGCTGTGCACCCCTGTGCCCGGCCGCACCGAGCCCGAGGGTGATGGGGACAGTCTCGCCCCTGCGGCAACAGACAGGGACCCAAGGACGAAGTGAAGGCCATCTTGGGGGGCCGGGTGGCGAGCCCGAAGGGACAGGGGCAGGGGCGGGGTGGAGTCCGGGAGACCCAGGGTCTCTGCCGCTTCGACCAGCCGGGCAGCGTTGGCACCTGCTGCGTGCGGGTTTGAGGGTCAAACTTAGGGAGCTGATGTCTCATGGGGCAGCAGCCTGACTTAGGAGGAATGCAGTTTGCAGGCGTGGGGGACAGTTTAAGGGGCACCGAGGAGGCCTTTTGAGCAAGGACCAGGAACTGAGGGAGCAAGGCAGGCAGGGGTGCCCTGGAGGGGGTGCCGGGAGGAGGGCACAGCCTGGGGTCGGACTGGACCTGGGGTGCTGGGAAACCGAGGTTGGGGTGTGCAGTGGGCCGGCAGGGGGGGCGGGTGTAGGAGGAGGTGGAGCCTGGACCTGGTGAGAGCGCAGCGGCCGGGCGGGTCTCACGGGCGCCCTCTGGTGGCTGAGAGGAGACTGGGCAGAGCGCGGCGGGGCGCGGCGCTGGTCCAGGCCCGGAGGGGAGGGCGGGGTTGATGCTGCCCCCGCGCCTGGACGGGCCGCTGGGCCCTGGTGTTCTGAGGGCACCCCTGCAGGACTCGCTGAGGGCACCCCTGCAGGACTCGCTGGTAGACAGGGGTGAGAGCATCAGAGGAGGAAGCAAGACCAGGCGAGGTTAGGAGGTTCTGGGACTCCTGAGGGCAGTGCACTGGGATTCTGGGGTTCAGGGGGGCATGGTGAGCCAGGACCCGGTCTCTGCGATTCGGCGATGACGTCTACAGAGTAGGGCTGTGACACCGCCCCTTCCCGGTGAGGGAGCTGTCCGCTCTTCGTGGGGAGAAGACGGGGTGCCTGGGTGGGCGGGGAGCAGTAGGTGTCTGGCCACGGGGCCAGCCCGACCCGGTCTGGAGGGCTGAGCCTCACGCTGCCCCTTGGAGGAGGACCTGGGAGCGGCTTGAGGTTTCCAGCAGGTGGGACAACGGGGCTCGGGGCCAGCAGAGGGCCCTGGGCCCTCTGCCCGAGTCGCCGGGGCTCTGGCAGGACGTGGGCTGGGAGGCCCTGCTGAGACCCGCGCGCCTGGCATCCCCGCCACCGCCACCGCTTGGCTCTGCCACCGCTCCCCTCCCTGGCTTGGCCGCTGCCCAGCAGGGTCCGCGGGCAGCAGCCCTGGCGTAACCTCTGCCTGTCGTGCCAGCCATGTACTCGGTGGAGATCACGGTGGAGAAGGACAAGGTGACCGGGGAGACCCGGGTGCTGTCCAGCACCACCTTGCTCCCCCAGGAGCTGCTTCCTCAGGGCGTCAAGGTCTACGAGGACGAGACCAAAGGTACGGACCCCACGCCCGCCC